CGACGAGCCATTAGACTGGGGAGGATTTAATACTATTCGACACGCGATCGTCGGGACATTCCTCGACGAGATTTGCATGGAGGTATTTGCGGTAGAATAGGATGCGATTTTGTTTTATTATTCATGATTTCTGATGGTGGGTAAAGGTCAGTGATAGTCGGAACCCTAGGCTTTGAACAAGTCTGAAGTTTCTCGACACGTTTGTATCGTTTCTCCTTTGGAAAACGTTCGATTTCAGATTTATTTAAAGTCTACGGTTTTGACCATTATTGGAAAAATAAGGAGATTTGAACCCACGATCCTCGGATCCACGGTCGACCAATCCCGTACCCTACGATTCGTGTTGTTGTTTAACTCCTTATTCTTGGGTATGGGAGGCGCGGATACTACACTGACGAAGTTTGCTTTTTGTGATTCGGTAGGACCTTGATTATTGCAGGGAATTGAGGCTGAATCTTTTACACTAATCAAGGTTTTAGAGGTAAATTGAACAAGTAGTAGCTCTGTGATGTTTTGGCTGAACCTTCTTCAATGCAAAACCTCTGCAATCCTACATCGGAACTAGGCTCTGCAAGGAGCCATTGAAATCAGATAATTCAAACATTTCGTTTTCATTTTACACCCGAGACTTCGAGAATCGGTACGATAGATCGCGCGAATTCCTCGCCAATTGCTGAGACAACCGTTAAGATTCGTTGGATGGCGTAAATCTGCATCGAGCGCAGCTGTATCGTTGATAGATCGCAGAGTTGCTTAACTCGGAAAACGATGAGTTACGATAACAATACGAGAGCAATGAAAATAAATGACGAGAATTTAATCGCGCAGATATCGCATGACCACGAGCGACGGACCGACTGCGGTGTTAACGTTTCTCCCATCGATCGCGCGTTACAATGAACTCTTTTCAGTGATCTCATGCCTCGGATATTGATCCTAACGAATCGCACGGATGATCGTACGCAGCGAGTCGCGGCCAGCGAAGAGTTAACGGCAGGCCGAAGCGCGAATATCGACAGGGAAACGACACTCGAGGGAATGCAATTTAATTACGGAGAGAAGTGGAATGTGAAAGGACCAACGACTTGATAATTCAACTATTTATCAGCACGTGTGAATTGAATAGTTGACAAGCGACGGACGTACGGTGAATAATCATTGGAAACTCTGCGACGATGTTAACGAAGGTGGCGCGATAGAAAAATGATTTATTTGAAAGAATTCTTATTTTACGTAACAAAGAATTGTGGAATGTCAATGTTTTTTTGGACGTTACAATAGACACGCGAAACTATTAAATGAACTGTCATATTTGAAAATGGAGTAAACCCATTTTTTCATGTATCGAGATATTTAAGGGTTTGTATTTGAATTAATTTAAAAATATTGGCAAACGGTAATCAATTAGTGCGATGTTTTTAACACTATACGACTTTTAAATTTCATTATAAAATAGCAATTATTAAAATCATTTAAAAAAATAAACGATCTGTTTAACTCCAAATGAACGTATACCGCTTTCAAAAATACCATATTATAAAAAATAAAAACAAGAGGAAATTCAAGTCCATACTTTTATAAACATTAGCTTCACTGAGATGGATCTTTTAATGTAAAAAAGTTTACTAAGAATTAATTTTACTTATATTAGAAAGATGATATATATAAAGAAGTGTAAAATGTAAATGTAAAACAAAATCAAATTTTAAATTTATCTCTCCTTTACAGTTAACACAGTGAAGTATTTATAATAATTGCAACAAGAAAGTTGTTTTATTATATATATATATATATATATATATATATATATATATATATAAATTATAATGAATTAAAATAAATTAAAATAAATAAAAAAAAATAAATTAAAATATAAATATATAAATTATTAAATAAACTATTGAATATCGAGTACTTTACGAGAATTATATGTTGAATTGCTATGAATGAGTGCAGACATCCCGTACGATAATAGTTTGACTGATGCATGTACGGCAACCATTAATTACGTTCGTTTATCTTTGAAAAAGTTACAGGTGTGTTGGTGTATCGGAATGAATGGTGGGTAGTATAACAGTGTATATTCTTCTGTACATAGAAGAAATCGATATCGAAGAAGTACTATATCCGTGAATGAGGCGAGTGTTCGATAGCCAAAATTCGAATCCCAGGCGTCCCCGCCCCCCCCCCAGTTTTTCAAAGTATGGCTAAGAAAAAAGTATCGAAAGCCTGTGGCTTATTTAAATGTAAGAAAACATATAATATTATAAATGTGAAGAGATATGTAACGGAAAAGAGGAGTGAACAGTAAACAATGAACGATATTAGTTCCATGCGATTAGTTCTCAACATTTATAGAGATATTATACATAGAGCAGTGGAGATGTAAACCAGCCTCTAAGTGGAAATGTCCCACCGTTAAAAAAAGACAACAAACCATGATACCATATCTATCTCTGTGCTTTTATTAATGTGAACGTAAATTATATATGTAATTATTAAAAGTATAAACGATAACCATTTATTATTAGCACAAAAAAGATATAAAAATGTGCTGATAGACAGAGACAGGTAGGGTACCGCGGTTTTCTTTCTCTTTTTAGATATGGTACAGTTAAAGGTCTAGCTCTTCTACTCTATCCACATCTCTACGTCAAAATCGCGCTGTTTCTAATGGTTATAGCGCGAACATCAGTAGCAGCCGTGCACTTGAATAGTGAAATATTCATTGGGTGTTTCCGAGTTTCGTCATCAGACATTTATGCGTTCATCGACTCTGTATCGTGCTCATCAATAATCGCTAGTGTCGTGTCCTGAAGACTGCTGAAGCATCCCAATGGACTGAAGAGATGATCATATGCAATGACTCACGGGATACGGGACATATCTGTTTGCCAAGATGAGTCAAAGCTGTACGGATATTCAGAGAACCGTAATTTGATTAAAGAAAAAACTGGAATCTAGAAGCGCGGACAATTTATTCGTTTAACTCTGGACAGTTGTAGATACAGTGTTCTCGCTTATAAAAATCCATTGGTTAAACGTTTCGTGTTGATTATTTTACACGATTGAGTGCAAGTTTAACTAAAGTTGAATATACTATTATCTCATCTCAACAAACGTTTCATATTAAAATAGTGAAAATTTATAAATATAACACATCTATAACGTTATATGAAAATTAACACACGACAACACTTGGCTAAATTCTCAGAATTTATATTTAGCGAGTCGGGAATTTATTACCCATTGTATGCTAAATAAAATAAATTAATAATAAATACTTAGAATTCTTGTTTGTCTGCAAATGTAGTGTGAAATGTTCTATCGTTACACAGGTTAAAAATAATCCCACCCTCGGATCTGTTACGCGATGCAGCTGTGATAAAGATTGGAAATTTATGCTTCGCGTATTTGAACACTGAAAATTTACGTTTCATTTAACATAGATTCGTTGGGAGAAAGGTGCTCGATAATCATTTGTATCGAACTATAGATAATCTCTAAATGGAAAACCACATGCGTTTACGTGCGATTAAAACTCTGCGGGAGACTTAACATTATGTAACCTGCTGCAACTTCGTTGAAGTCAAATATTAATCAACTTGCATTCAAGGTCCAATGTCGACCTCTACCTTAACATGTTGGTCGCTACCGAGAAATAGGAGACAAAACTCTTCATTAACATGTTGACTGCCACATGTTAACATGTTATTACGTTAAAATATTATCTACAGCAGACAATTTTTAATTTCTTCAAACCATTAAAATAAAAATGGTATTTAAAAATTCATACGTATCAATATTTGCTCCAATTATGTATTTTTACTATTAGTCACATCGCCGGTCATTGGTGACCCCCACAGCGCTGTAGCCAAGTCGAGTGCCGGTCACCGGTGACCCCCACGGCAATCAACGTGTTAAGGAATTAAAAAGATTTATTTCAAAGGTAAGACGATTACGAAAATAAATTTGGAATGAACTTATAAAATTGACGAGGTTGAAAAATTAAATACTACTATAAATGCTAAATTATATAATTTTTAACAGTCTCGAGACAAAATTTTAGTTTCATCGAAATTTTCACGAGTTTCAGTTTGGCGGCCAACGTGTCAATAAACCTTGCATGTACAGGTTGTCTAACGACAGGTATTGTTTATAATAACGCTTAAAATTGAGTCATTTCATTAGATGGTAAAGAGAAAATTGTATGCGGTAAAAGATATTCGGATTTTCACGTTTCGAAGGATATTTCTATTCGATTTATTCAAACGGCATTGCTATAAATATCTTTGATAGTTGGATACCTTTAAGAATTCGTATACCTGCATTTACGTATATTTCTATATATCTTTGTTGGTATTTTATTAGGCAAAAGAGAATGAAACGAAATACAACGAATATTTTTATATCCTAAATCAGTGATTCCCAAAGTGGGCGCCACCGCCCCCTGGCGGGTGCTGCAGGGATTCAGGCGGGCGTTGATGGCCAACGTGGGCTGTAATTCAAAAGTTCTTAATCGCATTTCCTTCGTCATATTTACTGGAACGTGGATTCAGTGCGGTAACAAAATGTATCAACAAAAAATAAAAATAAAAAAAAAAAACCAATTGCAAATAGTAAATCGCGGTGATTTAAGATTACTGTTGGCGAAAATAGAGCCGAGGATTACTAAATTGTTAGCAGTACACCAGGTTCATCCTTCTCATTAAGATGATTTCGAATCTTTTAACTTTTTTTTTCTGTATTACGTTCTATTCCGAGTTCAATAAATAGTTTCATAATTTCAAAGTTCAATGTTTCTAATTTACACCTTCCTTTACTATATTTTACGAAAAAGGTAGAAACATTAGTACATGTATATTTCCTATTAGTTACTATTAAAATTTTTAAAAAATTAATTTTGCTAGGGGCGCTAAGTAATATTTTTTTTAGAAAGGAGACGGTAGGACAAAAAAGTTATGGAACCACTGTCCTAAATCTAAACGAAGATGAAGTACCTTGAGGACCACCAGGAGTCATGTCTTCGCATAGTAGTTGTTTCATCTGACGCTTCCACGGTGTTGTCACCAAAAAACCCGCGCGCGTTCACCGGTTCCCGAGCGATTCGTTCAACAACCGTGGTCCCATGGTCGTGAAAACATCCTTCCTACGAGAGATTACCGACACTCGAGCAAACGCTTTCACGTACACCCATTCACTGTCCGCGTAACAGATAAGAGACACGGTCTTTGTTCATTGATCGGGGATACCTACGAGAAGCCTCCATTCGGAGCGTCGCTCATCCGGCGCGGGTCGTAATCGTAACAGCGTACCGATCCCAGTGGGTCAAGGTTGCGAGAAATCCTTCGCAGCGATCGACCACCTTCGCTTAGGGGACTCCCGAGACGCGTGCTTCGAGTGTCCACGAAATATCGTCGACTTTCGAAACCGCCTGCCCTTCTTCCAGCGGTGATTCCAGTCTCGAGTCGACTTCCAGGCGTCGATCCTCGTCGACGCGAGCCGCCCACGTGGGATCGATGAAGGACGCTCGGAAAATACTCCGATCAATTCGGTAGTGCAACGACCCTTTGAGGAAAGTTTCCTTAGTCACATAGGTGATCTTGCGTTGATTTTTCGTGGGCTAGTCTTGAACTGTTCAGGCGTTGATTCGAAGACGCGAATGGGGGTTGTTGGGTATTCTTCACTGGGCAATTGAGGAGTCGATTTCGATCTAGAACAGCGTTCCCAAAACTGTCTTTTAGCTGTGATTGACAATCACTGATTGTTGGTTTTGTTTAGCTATAAGTTGTGGAGTAGGTTGATGATGTTTTTTAGGGGAATTTTGGAGTTTTCAGATTATGGAGTAATCAATGCAGCTACTGAAATTATTCATTTAATTTTGTAGACTATTTATTGAAAGATGGTCTGTCAATGTGTTTTTTTTTGAGTGACGAAACGTCGAATTAATCTGATCTCTGATCTCTATTTTCAAAAACAGTACAAAGACGATTTCAATATGATAAAATAATGGAAATATATGATGTATAATTTTGTAATGCGATGAGTAGCCTAGAGATAGAGTAATTTAAATGAAAGTATGTTTTACATATTATCGATGATATTTAAAGCGAGTCTACACAAGCAAAGCCCGCCAAAACTTCAACCTCCTCTTCTATCCAACTATCAACGATCACATGCATCCCATACCGCTTTCAATACGAACCATTCCATTTAAACTCCAATTCGTTCTTTTGCATCTATCAAAATATGAATTTGCACAAACAATCTACCCATCACGTTACAAAATTATATTTTACATATTTTTATCATTTCATTATATTCATATTACGTTTGTACTAGTAAAAAAAAGTAGAACGATTAAAATCTTTAACAACACAAGCGTATCCTGCAAATACTAAAAATCGATTTACTGTATTCTTCCAACAATTATTTACGATTGTCCCCACATCGCGATTGTTCATAATTGGAGCACAGTTTGGAAAACGACGTCTCAGAGGCACGCAACACCGTTCGTCGACGTTTCTCAACGAACGTTCGTCGTAGGAACCGCAGAAACGTTCGCTGGTTTGCAAGCAACCACTCGCGCCACGAATTTTTCGATTCCGCTTGGTCACTGGTAGGATTATTCGATCGCTGCGCAATCAGAGAGAGGCACACTTTTTTAGGAACGTACGATTATTTTCCTTAGGATAGACGAGTCACGATTTTTTTTATCGGATGAAAGAAACGCGGTTCGCGTCGAGGAGCGCGGCCCTCGTGTCTCGCGAAAGGAGTGGAGCGTCTCAGCGCGTTCACCGATCAGAAAAGGCGTCCGGTCGAAAGCATACGCCATTCTCGACTGACGAACGAAACCGCGAGGTGGCATTTCCCTCCTCCATCGGTGCGCGCTCCCCACGATAGAGGAAAAACGCCACGGGCGTGTATCGAGGTGGGGTGGCTACCGCGCGAACCGCCGACGGAAAACCGCGAATGATCGCACCGCACGCGACGTTTTTAATTCAAGGAAAAGATACGGGTGAACGAGCACGCGATAAGCGCTTTTATAATCCAGCCAGGACCGTCTTCAGCTAGTTGTACAATGAATTTATTTAAGGGGTTAGTCGCAGTCAGGAAGATGAAAAAGGACACTTTTGTGTGTGTGTGTGTGTATATTTTTTAGGTATTAAATAATAATTTTCATTAATGAAATTCGAATATATTATAAAGTATGTCTTAAAGAACTGTAAAAAAAATTTTGTTTGTAAAAAAGGTTAATTTATTTCGTCGTAACAGGTGATGTCGTGGGTGGCCATTTTGTTTGCCGTGTGCAAGATTTCTCTGAACTGGTTTACCTGAAAACAAATATAACGGTCGATTTAGAAAATGTATTAGACTAACGGGTCCCTGATCAAAGGATTTTTTTATTCTCTTATGTACTTTTCTTTTTATTCTCTATTTACTTAATTTTATAGTGAAAATTGAACTTTAACTTTTCAAACGTACGCTATTTTGTTTTAAATTAATTTTGCCCAGTATCCTTCGATCAGGGACCCATTAGTCTAATAGATTTTCTAAATCTGACTTTGTGTTTGTTTTCAGGTATACCAGTTTCGTGATAGTGTAATTATCTTTTACAGAAAAATTTCTTAGAATCGGTTCAGTAGCTTCAGAGATTTGCTCCTATATACAAACAAATTTTACCTCTTTGTAATATTAGTGTAGATGAATCATATGAGCCTATCACGATTCAAAATGGACCACACCATTTCATGAAGAACGATATAAAAATTTTGTAATTTCAACGCAGATCCCTATGGAACGTACAGATTTTCACGCGAATTTCATCAATTTAACACGTTCACGCCGGCGTGTATCATCCATTGCCCACACTATATGTGAACGTCAATGGAGGAACTTGTTGAAAATTTGATACCTTATAAAACCAGAAATAATAAACCATTTGAATGAAAAATAACAATTATTGACCAAGTTTCAATATTTTACAATATTTCCCATTGTTTAACCCTGGTATCAGCCTAATTTCGAATACCTATTAATTACTCTGAAAGTCTCTAGAATTCACAATCTCTCGACAATCTTCCTTAGGAATTGCCGAACGAAGCAAATAAACAAAGTAACCACAACACTGTACAATTATTCATTTCAATCTATCTGATCTCAGACGGAGCAATCACAATTCTAAAAATAAAGATACCGATGATTTAGGAAAAAAAAAAAAAGCAATCGAGATGGTAGTCTTTCAAATTACAATCTGCAACGTTGTATTACGTTGCGTAACTGTTTTCCTTTGGAGTTTCGAGCGCCTCTATCATCGAAATAACGAAGCAAGGAGAACGATGGTAGATAAATTAATTAACGTCGTCGATTAATCGTAGCTCGCGTAAAACGAAGAAACGGGACGAGTTCTGGAATGCGACCTTAATACCAGTAGAATATAAGTATTTTGATTGAGATCTCCATGGGACTCCAAAAGCGTAATCGCAGTTACTTTCAGTCTAGCTCGGTAAGCGACCTAATGAGGATGTGCTTCCGCAAAGAACTTGTATTATTCGTGTACATAATGTACATTACGTTAAGTAGATAAGGTTACACAAATCTTCGTCCCATAATGTTGTACTTAACGCGTGCAAAATCTTAAAGTTACTACAAAAAAGAAGATCATTTTTAGACCATCCGGAGCACTAGGAAAATGAAATGAAATCTTGCCTTGCATTTGCCAATTTTTGAGAAAAAGAGAAGTATTATTCAGCTTTCGAAGCAATGAGCAGACTTCTGTGCATTAGTACTTAGGTATCTTTCTTTTTTCTGAAATCTTCTTTTATCTTCCTTATATAAACAACAATATAAATAACAGTACAATAATATAATAAAACATACATAAGATATACATAATGTATGTTGAATAAATTCTACAGTTATGTATTTTCCTTCATTTCGCATAAGTGCACATATCTCTTGGCTACGTTTACCATGTGTTTGTTATATTAGTCTATATCACAATTATTCGAATATATTTCGACGTAATTATTCGACGATATTTCTGTGAGAAGTGATATCAAGTGTTCCTATTATAAATAGAAAATAATTGGGATAGACATAGTTTCGAACGTTGGCGTTTAGAAGGAACAATGCTTCGCAATACACGCGGGACCGTTCCGAAACAAGGATGTTAATGGCACTATTGACATTTTACAAATGCCACGTTACGACATTTACAAGTGCTTTTGTCCTAAATTGTTATAATATGGCCAGAGCTGACAGACCTTGAAGAATGCCTATCTTCATAAAAATATTGATAAAAAAATGTGCATACAGGAAACAGGACCTACGCGTGACGAAAACGATGAAATACCATTACACTTCATGTTTTGCACTTATGTTTCGGTCCCTGCCACATTAACGATTAAATCACACGACGATCCGGAACTGGCGTCGTCGTGACCGATATTAAGTAATATTTATGAATAATACGAGCAGCGGTGTAACGAGCCCGCGGAGATCGCGTGACGAGGAACCTAATGAAAACTTCGACGAAACGTGCTATCGTTGACGTGGCCCTCACTCCTGACTTTACGTTCGAGCTTACGTCAGGCTTGGACACGCCAAGCCCAATAATACATCATCGTAAGACGACACCGTTCCATTTTGTTCGTCTGTCAGCGTAAAATTATTTCATTCAATCAGTGTACCGAAATATGCATGGGGGTGCCAGCGAGATGCTTCAAAACATTTCAAACAATTCCGTGAAGTCAGATTACATCGTATATAACAACGTTTCCCATTGCACCGAACGTAACACGAGACATTAAATATTGTTCAACGAATTTGATACAAATTTAAACAAAACTTTCTTAAAAGGCCCACAGCCGTTTAGCTGATCAGAATAATAATTGCTCCTCTTACATGCAATTATTTACAAAATGTTTCAGAGCGTAATTCAATTACATGTCAAAATACAAGATTTATTCATTGGACTGTGCAGAGCACAATTCAATTTAATCGTATAATAAAATACATCATTCGACTTTGTCCGTCAATTGGCATGAAATTATTTGATTCAGAGTAGGAAAAAATATATATTCCTGTGGCAGTAAGACATTACATAAGATTTCATATAAACTTCGTGAGATAAAATTATACTGTATACAAAAACGTTTCCTATGATTTTTTACGTAACACGACGTATTAAATATTTCCTTCTTTCTTTTTTTAATCGTGTATTAAACGTCACATTATATGCTAATAACGCAGCGTGGGTTATTAGCACCTCGAGTGTATGTTTATACATATTTAAAGCGAAGAAATTATTGTTAAATTTTCTACAAAATGGAATTTTTCTTAGTCTGATGTTCCTCATCTTTCAGCAGTAACAGTAACGCTGTTATCGAAGTGTTTGCCTGTTAACAAAGGAGCTTACATCTCCCTTTTTTTGTTTGACAATTAATACCATGATTCGCAGGTACACACGCCTCGGTAAATAGATCGAATTACATAAAAAATGAATTAACTCGTCATAGTCCTAGAGCAGTATTCGATCGAGTGAGTCGTTAATGCTGACGCGTGGTGTTTTGGCTCTCAGTTTAATTACTCACTCAACGAATGATGTATTAGGTTAATGGTCAACCGTGATACGTATCAACGTCTATAAAAACGCGTATCAAGATGTGTTATAATACTCACCAACTATACAGGATATTTCGCAACATCAAATAGGAATTCCTTCCTCGTAAAGTCTGCGTCGGTCGGTATAAACTATTCCGTTGGTAAAATTAAAATAAGTTCTGTATTTCCCTTAAATGACATTTATGACGTTTATTTTGAAAGTGGCCTAAGTCCATTTGGCAGTTATTTGTTGTTGGCTTGTAGTGACGTGTAATACTTGAAGTGAATTGTCATAAAAAAACATTTTACGGTCGGATACATTCGGAGTATACGATAATTTTGGACATACAGTCAGTGTAAGAAGTATTCATGCGGTAACCAATTTAAAATAAAATTAATAAGAAAAGAAATGAAAGGTTAACATTAACAATAATAAACTTCAATTTACGCATATTCTACTCTAGAAATATGTAGGAACGCTGGTTAATTAAATCTTTTCCTAAAATTTATTAATAAAATAAATATATGAAGTTTTATTTTGAATTGGTTCCTGTACGAATACTTATTACACTGACTGTATACATTTTCGCACTTATGATAGTCAAAAAATTTACTTTGAAAGTGGCCCAAGTCCAAATCATTATTGATAATGTCAGAAAGTGTGGTAATTGTAATTAATTAGTATTTAAACAGTTAATCTTACTTTAAAAGATTAATTGTTACCTTGTTACTGTTTCTCTGTTTATCTTTAATATTATTCTCGTTTCTGGACAATTCTTTAACAACGTTAATATAATTGGCTTTTAGAAGTACGGCAGCGTTTCTAAAGTAACGAATAAACGAAAATGAAGTAATTCACACTGCGACGTGCTAAAATATCAGTGTGTAAAGAGATTAGCAGATTGTTACGTCAATCTGATATCTCGGTCCCACCTCGATTTATCATTCGTCAATTTAGAGGCAAATCGATCGCAGAACAGTCACTGTTTCACTTCTATTTCGTTACATCACAGATGATTTCCAGTGCAATTTGCTCTATCCTTTTTTTGCACGCCAACGAAGTCCAGAACTGAACGTATTCGATACAATTTTCATTAACGACCATTACACTTCGTTTAATTAACACGTCGGGTGCCAAGCTGAAACTCGTGAAAATTTAACAAACTCAAAATCGTGTCTCGAGACTCTCGAAGATTAGTTAATTTACCATTTCTCGTAGTATTTCATTTTTCTTAAACCCGTCGAATTCACGAATTCTATCCAGATTTAATTCTATTAGCATCTGACATTCGGAATGAATTTTTGTAGTTCCTTAATGAAAAGTCCTGTCATTCTTGGGTGACACGACGTCCAACGTATTAAAGGGGTAAACATACCTAGTACCGTCCGAAGAAACGAACACAGCTAAGAATTTCTTTTTAAACAAACGAAAAATATTCTAGTAATAATTTTGAAG